TAGTGTTATGAGACGAGCCAATTTTTAACTTTCTTATGGTTTTGGTGTTCCATATTGTGAAATTTACATGTACTACTGTATTGACAAAGTAATAAAATTGAAAATTTTAAATGCTTTCTCCTGAAAAATCCATGGTAAAAATTGTTTATTAATCCATAGTTCCAAATAAAATTGACATGTAGCTGTCGGTGAAAGTAGATTGTATGTAATATGTAGACAGTGGTCACATATTTTGCATATCATATCGATTGTAATATGTACAACATATCATACAATGTATTTATGGTATCATTGATTGCATCATTGTTTGACTTTAATTTCATTTGAATCTCTAAACGAGAAATAACATCATAAATCTGGTAGATATATCACTGATATAAAGAAGCTTCAATGAATCTCTCTGGCACAAGCTAAGGTTGTATCGTGGATGTTCAAGAAATAGTTTTGTCCTTGAAATTCAGGATACTATGGTAGAATGCCTTTATTGCACAATCCAGTAGTTGTTTTGTTTGCATGTAATTTTGGACTAGAAACTTGAAAAGTAGATTTTTAAGTCACATTCTCTTGTTAATTTCAATTTATAATTTACCTGAAGATATGATAATACTTGCGCAGCAAAGACAATAAAAAATCATTAGAATTTTACAAGGCAACCAAATTATTATTCTTTCGATTCATTTCCCTCACTTCTATTGGAATACCAGAACTTAGCTCACAACTCCTTATATTTTTTGTGCATATCTCTAAAAATTGATGTCTTAATAAATTCATATATTCGATATCTGTGTATTAAATGGAGTCTATGTTTTTGTTCATGATTTTTATTGTTTACTGAATTTCTGAGATTGATCATTGTTCGTTGTATTCATCTTTTACATTCTAATAAAAAGAAAAAAATATGTTTCTATATAGACCATCATTATGGCTGTAATAGTATCATCAAACCTGTGATTAATAAGAATATTATAAAGTCCACCCTCTTAAGTTCACATTGAAGTCCATCCCTTTTGATATAACATTTTGATAAAGTACTAGACTAAGTATTATATTTTTCAATATTTAGAACCAAAAATGATTTTGAAAAATCTTCCCAATGAAAAGGAACTATAAATATAAGATGGGTCACCTCTTAAAGGTGCTTAGACACAGATTTGAAGTTAATATTTTCTCAAATTTTCTGTATAATATCTCGACTTATATATTGAAATGGCATTTCACACGAAAATATAATTAAAAACTTATTTTATCTGGAAATTATTTGAACTACGAATTCCTGGACGCGTTTGATTAACACATTCTTGCACATTCACAAATTTTATCTTGATCCTTAATATTTAAGAAAAGAAGCGATTTTGTTGTGTATTAATGAAAAACTACATCTATAATCCAGAAAATTCAGAGTAGAAATGTGCGAAAGCAAACCCCCTCACTAATATCGTCAGCCTGTGCTCAGTGTTGTGTACAGAGTTTAACAAATTGAATACACCCGTGAAACGTAAACTGTTTTTGTAAACAGGACACGAGCTCTGTTATTGTTAATGTTTACGATTCACCGGGTGTGTTCAGTTGTTAAAGTCTGCACACACCACTGAGCACGGACTGACAATACTGTGAGTGGGGTTTGCTTTTGAACATTTCTACTCTGAATTTTCTGGATTATAGTTTGAATATTTTTCATTAATACACAACAAAATTGCCACTTTTCTTAAGTATTAAGAATAAAATTAAAATTTGTGAAAGTGCAAGGATATGTCAATCAAACGCGTCCAGAAATTTGAAGTTTCAATAACTTCGAGATGAAATAAGATTTTTATTATATTTTAGTATGAAATGCTATAACAACATACAAGTCATGAAATTATACAGAAAATGTGAGAAAATATTAACATCAAATCTGTGTCCAAGCACCTTTAAAGAATTTAGTCTATGTACATCAAATTAAAAGCAACTGTAATATTGAGCCTTGAAATAAAGACTATGTTTTTTCCTACTTGATAAGCAAATGTAGAAGAAATTTTATAGGGCATGTAGTGTGTGGACTTAAAGTTAAAATGCCGATATGGTGGAATGCAAGACTGGACCATCCTGTGATTTAAAATGTTGCTAATGTTTAATTTATGGCGTAAATTCCTTTGTTGGCAAAATTTAGTTAAAGGAACAGGCGAGTCAAATCTGATTTCTGATTTATTCTCTTCTGTAAAACGGCCAACATCCATTTTCACATACATGTATCTTAGGCTATAAAGGTGACATTTTGTACAGCTTAGTCGAATCGTCAGATAGTGGATTACTCATTAAAATACGTTTTTGTGTGTTGATATCAGGTTTCATCATTTACAGACTGGTATAATATTTCTTCCACAGTACTATCACATACATAGAATTTTCAAATCATCATTTACATTTTCATGAATGAATAAGTACCGAAATACAAGTCTCTTCGGGGACAGCATGCAAGTAAGTAATGAATATTTGGAATTATTGTATTGGAATTCAAATTTGTTGTTTTGTCGCATTATTATGTTATCTAATGCCCTGTTCACATGAAAAGTTTAATTTGGATCAAACGTAAGTTACTGCGAATTAAATTTGAAATGCATTCACACAGAGAATTTAATGCGAATTATCCCCTGTAGTCTAATTCGAATTAATTTACCGCGCATCAAATTACTTGGCATTAACGTCGCGTGAACAGTGGGATGAATCTTTAATAGATATAATAGTTCTAAGTATTCCTTTCAATTACACCTATATCAGAAGTAGCATTATACAACAATAAATAGCTGAAGTAGTGATTTATTTATCTCGAATACCTTTAACAACAAAAGTTATCATGCACATCGCAGATGCTTCTGATAAACCTGGTTAAATGCATATTATGATGAAACTTCTAAAAATTAGCGCAGTACGTTTTCTTCTTAGAATACAAAAAATGCAGCCATGTATGGGTGACCAGAATCCAGTTCTGTCCAGAATCAAATTCTAGACACTTATTTGGATTATTTTATCTGATTATAAAATATCTGCAGTGGTATATAGTTAAGGCTTAAATTTTTGAACATTAAATCTTGTTATCTAAAATCATACTAATCTTGTCTGCAATTTTGAGCAATTATATAATTTTCATCACTGGGATAAGTCACTTCACTTTTTATCATGGTAGACGTTGGTATTATAGTCACTTGAATTAGATAATTAGATAATAGTTTTTAAAGCTATCCCTTCTACTGTTTAGTCTAATACTTCCAACACAAGAACACTACCTATATCATACTATTCATTTATTATTATGTAAAGTTTATGTTTTTTAAGGTTTTGATAATTCTTTGAAAATGCTATTTTTATGTCTAATTTCAATAATATTTTATACAGAAATGGACTCTATAACGCATTCTTTATATCGAAATTCAATGAAAAGTGTTGACATGCAAATTAAATACAATAATTTCAGACATTGTTTTAAATAACAACCCTCTTGCTTTTTGTTCTGGTCGAAATAAAACTGTACACAGGTTTATATAAATATTTAAAATACTTCTGCATGAAATATGGCGATAACGAACAGTATTCAAGCTCAAAGTCCATTTAAACAATACAAATCGGGAGCAAAACAAAGGGGACCTTCAAAAACATCAGAGGTGGGATCAGGTGCCATTGAGGAGTGACCATCCCCTGCAGACCGGTCACACCCGCCGTTTGCTCCTTGTCATGATCGGAAAATAACGGAAAAATCCGTCGACAATTCAGTGTGTAAATAATGGCCTAACAATAAGTAGGAAAAACGTCAGCCAGCATATGACTTAATGATAGATTAAACTTGCTGACAAGGTCATATTATTGACCATAGAACTTACAAAATGATGACTTTAAACGATACTGTTGAAATTCTTGATTCATCAACTTGTTTGTTAATAACTTACCTCGTTTTAGAAAATGTTCATACGTAGAGCATGCTCTTGCGTATCGAATCAACTGAGAGATATACACCCCATATGCAGGTGATAAGGGTATATTGATGCATAAGTAAGGGAAGTTGATGATTAAAAAGTTAAAGTCATCACGTTTATCATGAAGCTTTGTTTGTTGTTAGATAACCATTAGCGTGTTTTTCTAGTAAAATATCCAAATATGAAACAAATGTGTCAGACTCTGTGGTATCTTTTATCTCAAGCTCACCGGGATATATCGTATCGACAAATGAATGGAAATAACTACCGGTATTGTTAATTGATAATACGTCGTCGATATATCTAAATGTCGAGCTGAAGGCCACAACAAGAGATTTCTTCTTCTCATGTATAAGATTTTGAATAAATTCTGCTTCATATGAATACAAAAATAGGTTTGCTAACAACGGGGCGCAATTGGTACCCATGGGAATTCCAACAAATTGTTGGATCATTTCTACTTGAATTAATGGTGTTACCTTGCCTAACAAAACCTTACATCAATGTTGCAAGTGTGTAGATATTCAAGTATTTCAAGATAATGTTCTTATACTTATCCTTGCATTAAATCTGTTATCATTTGCTTGCCATAGGGAGGCTCAAGTTGATTTTCAAACAGACACTGTTAATTATTTTTCAAACATTCACCATTTCTTTAAATACTCATCAAAAGAAAATCTGTAGTGGAAGTCTTTCCTCTAATATCTTAAGATTTTAAGATCTGTAGATCAATTGGCTCTCGATTTCCTGAATACAAACTTAAAGAGAAGTATAAGCTTGTCTCTGGCAAAACCCTTTATGACTTTTAAAGAAAAAACATATCAGCTTATCAGCAGTTGTTTACTGCAATAGCAAATACAAGAAAGAAGAAAACAACCTTCAAAATTATTTCAACGTAGTGTTAGGAATGCGCACTTTGTGTGAAACATTTTATCAGAGAAATATTTTTCGTATATAACTCAGAGCAACTTATTGACAAAGCAAAACAATTTTATTTCATCTCCCTAATGTAAACTCTTCTATGGCTAATACAATGTTGAAATGGATTAGCTTTATAATCCAAGGTAAGATCGTAAGCAATCCCGGTCATTACAACAGAAGACTTCTCCATTTTTCAACAAGTTCTTTATAAAAGAGCAGTCCTCTTTCTGTCAAAATGACAATTTTTAAAATAATAATTTCGTTTCGATCATGAAATCATAGCACATCTATGATGTTTAAAATAGATTAATAAATATCATGATAGGTATTTATTTATACATGTCCTTACTGTAACATTGAAAATAAATAATGTTTTGTAAAGGAATTACTTATGTATTTATACTTAAAAAAAACTTTTTTGGCCATCATATGTAATGTTCGACGTTTTCATACGTATATCAATGCAATTTATTACCCTTGTACAATGCGTTGTGGACTTTGTTCCTTGATAGCTTCGTATCATACAACTCTCCTCCGGATAACATGTCTGATTCCACACGCAGTTTAATGATTCATCACATGTAGGACACTTAATACCTAAAAAGAAATTAATTAAATGTAAAAGAAATAAAGATGATAATTACCATATATTGCGACCTACATGTACACATACGATAGATAACCAAATATAATGGATAAATAAAATATCTCTCTGTCTCTTAAAATGTTTTTGTTTCGTATGTTTCTAAATGTTGACTATGTTCAAAAACGAATATTCCCTTAAAAAACAATTTATAGATTTGTACTGTCAAAAAATCGTTTTAAATATTGTAAAAATCATCTAAGAGATATTAACATTGCATATTGCATATGTCTTACGTCATATGATCTCATAGGCTTTGGAAATGTAATATGGGGAGAATTTGTTTAATTTACTATTTTAATAAAAAGACAGTAGACATATTACCCATAGTCAAAATGGTTGCTGATGTCTTTGCAGTCAAATAGTTTGAAGTTGTTCTACCTGATGAAGTAAACTATACATGTCAAAAATAAAACAAATTCTTTATAAAAATTGTCTTTATCAAGATATAAAAATACATTTTATAAAATGCACATTACGTTTAGTATTGATGTCTCGTTTATTAATAAAGCAACCACTTTGTTTGAGAAAAAAGAAGCAGTGTTGTTACTATTTAATGAGGAACATTTTCAAGACTTTCAGTAAATAAAATCTCATGTCAGGTTGGAAATCATGGCCTCCTGGCCGAATAAGAGTGATACGAAGTTAGAGAAGGTTTCCGTTATATATTTCTACGTAAAACTTTAAACCCTCAACCTACGCAGTAGTGATGATTTTAAAAACATTTTCACTATGCATTTTTTTAGGATTGCTGCCGTGCAATCGTATTAATGGTAAAGATGCTGTTCGACATAATTTTACCTATCACATTTCTTGATTAACTTTCAACCATATTTGTATTCACGTATATTTACACGGCAGGTGTGACAGATCAACAGGGGATGCTTACTCCTCTGTGGTACCTGATCCCATCTCTGTTTTCAGAGGTTCGTGGTGACTCTGCTCACAATTTGTATTGTTTGAATGGACTTTTGAGCCTGATTATCGTTTGTTATTTTCACATTTCATTACAAACTTCATTGATCAAAATCTGTTTAAATATCAATTAGCCAAAGTGTATACGTGCATAATTGAAACAAATTATTCCGCTTTTTTCCTTTCTAGATTCTAGACCCTTTTTCGGAACAACTCAGGTCAAAAGAATAACGAACATTTGAACGCATGTTCTTTTAATTAACACTTTTAGTTTCACTAAGCCTCCTGAGTTTGAAATATAGAAAAAGATACAAAAGTAAATCTAGAGGATTACGGATAAACGGGAATTAGCTTTCGAAGCAAGGATTTGCTTATTAAATAAGGAACGGCAAGTTATTTAGGCAATTCATAACGATTTGAAGGGAATTATTTACATCTAACAATCTAGATTTATAAATGGAAAAAATCATCAGAAGTATAAAAAAAATTGTAATAATTGCAATAGTTTAATTCAATAACTGATCAATTGAATTATTTATCAATAAAATAACTTATTATAATGATATGAATTAAATGGTCTTTCACCTTCTATTGTTTTTGTCGTTGTGCTTGTTGTTGCTGCTGTTGTTCTTGTTGTCTGTATTGTTGTGTCTAAATGTATATAGATAAAATGAAATCAATATTTTTTCTTTGCTGATCCAGCGTAACATTAATACCAAATTTTTAATAAAGAACAATATTTAAATCTACACTTCATAATTTATTTTTTATTCGTCTTAAAATTTTTGAAATTTACTTTTGAGCGATAAAGTATCTCACTGTTTATAAAAGCAACTTGATTGAATAATATTATCAGAGTGTGTGAGAAGCACCTGAATAAATAAGTTTAGTTTGTAAAAGTGCTTGAACAAACATAATGTTCATGAACAAAAAAGTAAAGCCTCAAGTTTTGACATTGTAGTGTTAAATGAACTTACAAACTAACTTTTTTTTTCATTTTCTATAAATATTTTTAGTCTCTGAATTTTAAGGATAGGTCTAGATGTATAGGAAGAAAGATAGATAACTCTTTAATTTCTCTGGGAGGGTGCTCTCTGTATACCGTATTTTTAACTAATTGCTTACATGATATTAAAATTGTATTACATGTAATCTCTCTTGATAAAAACCTTATTCAAAATATAAACTAACATTTTTTTTTTCGAATTTTCAAAATGCCATTTACTTTTTACATAGTAATGTATCAAATACCTGTGATTAGTCCACAAACACACCTATGAGAATTATGTATATAGTCAAAATGACATTCGCCAGTCAGTCCTTGTGGGCAAAAACAATGCTTGTGTTCCGTGCAAACTGAAATTAAACATTTATTTACTGGATTTCTTTATCGGTATAAACCAGAAAAGAAAATAGGGGGAAACCTGCGTATACGTCATTAAGATGTTTAAACATGTCACAAAACTTAATTCAGATTAAATTCGATATATGTTCAGGAAATTGACATCTTAAACCATGTAATTCTCAAGAGAAACATCCAAGAAAATGACGGTTTTAATCTTCACGATCATTTTTCCATATTTGCTGAATATTGAAAAAAGCAATAAAAGTTTCAAACATTCAAAAGACTTACTTTCACCGACACTACTTTTTTCATTCCCTTTTCTTTTACTAAATATTTAGTGTTCACAAAAGCTGTTCCCTTTAAGCAATTTTGTGAAGAATAAAGTGGATGGTTTTTATTTCCTTTTATTTTATCTTATATTGCTCGTTTACGATACCTAACACAACAAGAGGCCCAAGGACCTTTCCGGTCACCTGAGAGATAAAGATATGTTGCCTCAAAAGCAAGAGAAATAGGATAATCAGGGATGGAAAAGAGCTTGTCGAGTACTCATGATTAATAAATCATAAAGAAATCTCGCCAGTACTTATACACTCCCTTCTGTCACTGTCATCATGCAGACTAAACAATTCAATAATACTTGCAAACATGTAGTGAACCCTACACCTTCCATCACATTTAGGCCTCTTCTGGTCTTTGAAAAATAAATAATGTATTAATATTATATTTTTGTCTCATTTTATATATGTATTACAATCAATTCTATCTGATCATTAAAATCTATGAAGATATTTTTTTTGTATTTTACATTAAAAGTTCTTATTTAATTCTTTATTTAATTTGACATCAATTCCATTATTTACAATAATTGATTATCATAAGTAGGTAGCAAAGAGGGATAACTTCTCCCAGTGAAGTACAAATTTCCCTACAATATCATTAGATCCCTGCTCGACCTCGGAGCACTTGACCCAGTGGTCAAGAATTTCACAAATCTGGTAAAAACTCTCCCTTCTCTTTACAACTTTGTACTCTTTCAATCCTCCAAGACGCATAGGAGCAGAGTAGAAGATTTTAAAAGAATTTTTGCATTTTCACTATATAATCTATAGAGCCCTAACACCAGAACCTTTGATCATGTGGCAATCAGTTTCAAAATTTTAAAAGAGACATCCTTGTTTATTATATCCATGCACTTAGTTTATCCGCTAAATACACAGAAGCAGAAAAGATTTTCAGAGAAATAATGCATTTTCACTATATTATTAATACCGATGTCCAACATTAGAACCCCTGACCCTGTGGCCATTAATTTCTCAATTTCGGAGGAGACATCCTTGCTCAACATAACCATGAACTTACTTTGCTTAATACCCAAGAGTAGAGATGATAATTTTCCAACGAATTAATGGATTTTTACCTTATGATCATAAGAGTCCCATACCCGATCATGACAAAGAGCACACGGCGGGTGTGACCGGTTTGCAAGGGATGCTCACTCCTCCATGGCACCTGATCCCACCTTTGATGTCTTAGAGGTCCGTGTTTGCTCTGCTCCTATTTTGTAATGTTTAATGGACTTTTGAGTTCGAATACTGTTCGTTATCTCCACATATTTCACCAGAACCCCTGCTCCAGGACCATGAATTTCACAATTTTAAACAAAGCATCCTTGCTTGTCATAGCCATGCACTTAGTTTATCTGCAAAATACCCAGAAGCACAGAAAGAGAATTTCAAAGAAATAATGCATTTTCACTATATTATCAATACACCCCCCCCCCCAACAGCAGAACCCCTGACCCTCTGATCCTGTGGCCATGAATTTCACAAATTTGGTAAAGGAATCCTTGCTTAATATACTGAAACGCAAAAGAAACGCAACAAGCAGTAATCAACAAATATCTGAATTTTTTTCTAATGATTTTCAAAAATAAATACACTAAGGTAAAACTTGATTTGAAACCATCAGAGATTAGATAAAAATGTTAAATGATTATCTTTTAACTTTAGAAAGTAACTCATGACTGTTAAAACCAGGGATGGGGTAATTGTAATCGAGTAATTGTAATCGATTGTAATGATTACTTTTTTTCAAGTAATCGACAGTAATCTGTAGTCGAAGAAATTTTCGATTACTTGTAATCGTAATTTAATCGATTACAGCTAAAATTGTCACTGTAATTATAATTACTTTTTCGATTACTTTCGATTATTTTATACATATATGGATATTATTTTGGAGAATTATTTCCAGTCAGACACACATAAATATCAAATATAAACCAAATGTTTGGATTTCCTTACTTTTATTATCATAAGTTTAATTATGTTCTCAATAAAATTTGCATTATAGACCTAATGGTCTAGTATTAAATAATTCAGAAGTGTACTTCAATCAATTATTAATAAAATATACAGATTTTTCGTGTGCATTTTACATTTGACCTACTGTCCTCTTGCTGCATGTCCTTTTTCATATTTCAGATGTTGAAAAACTTGTATAATAGAAAATTATAAATAGCTAAAACAGATTTAAGTGCTGTATTAGATATAAATAATTTGGTAAATAAACTATATTGTACTAAAAAAAAAAAAAGATGGAAATACTTATTCATATCTAAAAATGTTTAAACAACTTCAAACTTGTGTTTTGGTTACTTTAAAATTTGCAAAATCATTCTTAAGTTTTCATTCAAAATTGTAAGGTTGCTTTTTTTGTCAGTGAGAGGTTATAAGTCTATATTTTTAGAGAGGGAGTAAGTGTCACTGTGTTTGCTTATCTTGGCTAATTAATTGACTGAGACACCCCTGACATGCAGATAATGAGGTGTAAACTGTGAACTACCTAGTGTTTAACTTTTATAATTCATTGAGTTCCATTGAAAACAAACAATATTTTGTAATTGATAGTTCCATTGAAGACAAACAATATTATTAAAACAATTAATAGCTCTCAAAACACTTATTTCAATACAGAATGAAATTGTGCTATTAGTTTAATTACTTAAAGACACATTTAATTTACATGTTTATTACTAAGAGTTCTAATTTACTTATTTTTATGAAAAAGACACGTACAGGAATGTTTAATGTGTACTGTTAACATACGGGCAGCCCAAATACTTCTAATGAAGTAATTCACAATAAAATATTGAATAATTTTTGCAACAAGTCAATAAATATGGAGGTTCAGATCCGAGGTTGAAAGGAATTATTAATTCCTTGGCATATTTTATTGTAGGAATCATGTCTCCATTTTCCATGGTAGAGAATCCCTCATTAGGGCATTTAGTGAGAATGTTAGCCATTATAATAAAACCTTAAAAGAATCTGCACTAAAAGTGCTGGAACACATTCAAACTTCAGTGGATAACATCAACATTTACCATTTAAATATTGCTTTGATATTTGAAAGGATAAAAACTTGGAAGTAATCGATTATTAATCAATTACATCTTCCAAAGTAATCGATTACAATTGATTACAGGACAAAAATGAGTGTAATTGATTAATAATCGATTACACAAAATTCCTCTAAGTAATCGATTATTAATCGATTACATTTTTCAGTAATCGTGCCCATCCCTGGTTAAAACATCCCCCAACCCGGCCATTCAATTACAGCGTGCAAGACTGCCATGCACAACAGTTGCAGCTTGGTTTCTACGATGCAATAGGTTCATAAATCTCGAGATCTGAGTGAAAGAAATATTCTTTGCCATTTTTAAATGCCTGTTTTTCAGATGATGATGTCGAATTTTCTCTAGCCAAGCGCAGTTTAGTAACCCGTGGACTTCCGGTCCAAGGACTGTCATTCATGCTAATGATACGCAAGAGCCTGTTGAGGCGTGATGTGGGTCATATTTGCATCTGCAACTCTCCGTCACCTTTTATTTTGAGATTTTCCAGCTAGAGCAATGGAAATGCGTACTTGAGTCATTTTCAGGAAGCCTTGGCGTCGCTCACGGAAAAGAAAGGGGAATTAATTTTTCGGAACATTGCTGCATTACTTATGATGAACAGATACAAACCCCTAAAACCCTATATTATTGTCAAATGTTTTGTTAAACATGCAGTTTTTGATTTCTGTTAAGCAGACTCAAACTTAACTTCCGGTAATGGTATGAAATCATTCAACCGTAAAATTACCGATATTTACAAAGTTGAAGATGTCCTTACTTTTTAGATACAAAATTATATCCTATATGTAATATTTCCCCCTTAAATATGATGTTGCGTTTCTTTTGCGTTTCAGTATATAACCATGTACTTGCTTTATTTGCTAAATACTTAGGGGTAGAGAAGACGATTTTAAAGAATTAATACATTTCCACTATACGATGATTAGAGCACCGCCTTAACACCACAATTACATGATTTTCACAATTTTGAAAAAAAGGCACCTTTGCTCATCATAATCATGCACTTCCTGTAGCTGTTTAACGAGGCCTAATCTACTTAATCTGCGCATACGTTTTCTCGTTTTCACGCAACGTCATTTCAGACGCGTCAAAGTACCCTTGATTGCCGTCACAATTGAATACAATAACGTCAAAATTAAAATGACGTCAAATTGCGCTAAAATTTTTCGCTATTCTGGCTTCCCTGATATAGATCTGGATTTTGCGTGTTGTAAGGTCGTTCATTCTGACATTTCTAATACTTTTTATGAGTTGATAAATAAATGTTTTAATTGATAATCAACTTTGCAACATAACTGATTTTGAAGTATCAATTTCTTACCACAGATTCGTCAGTTTCATGTTGTTTTATTTCAATTTTTGAGTTTTAAAAGCACTGCAACCAAAAATAAACGATTTAAGTCGTTCTCGTTGAAGTGTTTACTAACCCTTTTTATTGTTGACTTAAATATGCATGCATTAGCTTGATTTTGTAAAAATAAATTCTATGAATCATTTAAATGCACCCCCCCCAAAAAAAAATTAAGTTTCCTATATATTACATAATATTACTAAATTTCATAATTTTGTCGACTTTTTCGCACACACACACACCCATACACACACACTCTTTCTTTTTCACATAAAACAACGTTGTGTGTGTTAACAAAATAAAGAATGGAGAGAAAATTCTTTCTTAATGTAAGATGTATTAATTTTGAAAAAACTTATATAGTATAACAATCATTTGTTAAAGTTATGTAAACCCACTGCGAAATAAAATATCGGGATAGATAAAATGAGTCATATTTTTGTGTTTTGTTTTTCCCCCTTTTCACTGTAATAAAAGTTACCCCCAATTTTATTTTCAATTTTTTAAATGAGGAATGGATATTGCATAATTTATGTGAAAAGCAAAACATTTAACCATTTATTTTTTTTTTTAATTTGTCAATTCATTTGTTTACTAGGTTGTTTTAGTATATAATAGTGTATAAAACCACGAAAAATGGTCAATATTTTGAAATTGCCCCATTTTACTACAAGAAAAGCAAGGTAACACAATTTCATTCTAATTTTTCTTAGCATAATACATATATATCCAAAATTAATTTTTTCATCTGTCCGTTTTCGTAATTTCCAAATAGAACGGGCTTCGTTAATACGCAATAGCAGCGAAGAAAATTTACAAAGAATTGGTGCATTTTCATTATATAATCAATAGAGTCCCACCCTAACACCAGAACATAGTTTTTTTCCACGATCCCTTGTACCCAACAACGAAATGCAAGAGATCGTGGGACAAGAGTAACTGGCACTGTCTTTTATAAGGCTGGGACCAAGAACTACTCAGGAATGATACGACTTGATAAGTGTTTAAGGTTGTTACTAAAGACGGCAAAGCTTTGCGTAAAAAGATATTCTTGTGTTGATAGTGGTGTCAAGTTGGGTGGTTTGACTGATATGGTCGTTGAAAGTACTTGCATGGATAAAAAAGTAAATTAATGAATACATTTTTTAATCTAAAAAAATTCTAACCCACTCAATTAAATAACTACATTTTAATAATCTTTATTTTTAATTTCACTTCACCAATTGCTCATTCAAAATTGTTCCCCAAAGAATATGATTACCAAGAACAGATAACGCAATTACGTAACATTTTCAGTATAAACCGCTGCCTTAGAATATTAGTATTAGCATTATTTTAACTTTCTTTATACATCGTCAAATGCTTACCAAATTTAATACATTTTATGAGGAGACAAGAATTTTTTCCCCTTACTTCAGACTCCATTGTCCATTCAAGTAGTCTAATGAATTCATCATGCAATATTAAAGGGAAGGATATTTTTTAAATTGTAATTAATAGGCTATTTGTCTTCAACCTTCACAGATTTTCTGGTCGTTTACAATTGTGTATTTTTCCCCGTAGAATCTGTAAAACATTTAACCACCAAAGACTCGTTAAAAGACGTACATTTAAAAAAAAAAACAATAAATTGTTTTGCCGATTAAATATTTCTACCTTATACATATTGACATTTTCATTAACTACTAACTACTAGAACTTTTCCAAAAAAAAAGTGCATCGCCTGCAAGAGAAGCATTTAGGATATTATTATACTAGATAATACTAGATTTTATCTTTCGTGTTAAGATATCAAGATGTCAGTTTCAAAAAGGGAAAGAGTGTTACTTTTAGAAGTAGTAGATTCATTATACATTATGTTAATGTATGTGTATACATTAACCTGTACAATCACATGTTGAGGAATATCTATCGATTTTGCAGTAAGGGTGTTTATCAGAGGGACAGATGTGTCCATTGCAGTCAGAATGATGATGACAAACTGATGTGGATAGCGGAGTTGAGGTGGGTGGCTGGACTGACGTGGTTGTTGAAACTTCTTGCATGAGACAAAAGTGAATTAATAAATAATTCTACAATGTGAAAAAGATATCTAATTCATGCAAGGATAATAAAGTAATGAAAACTCTTTCCAAAAACATTCCTTATTTTGCTTCAAAATTTTCCTTATTTTCCTTCAAAACTGTTCTCTAAGGAATCTGCTAATATAACTAATAACAGATACAAAAATTACATATTTTTTGCAAAGTTAATCACTAAGAATATCTCACCTGAATTTATTAACATTATTTTGTAACTTTCTACCCATCAATCCTTTTGCATATCTATTCTGATGATCAATTGAATTTATTTGTGCTGTACGTGATTTAAAATTATCGAGCATTTTTTTTTCTCCTCAAAAGTAATTAGCTTCTTTTTATTGATAAGAGCTAATTACCTGAAGTCATTGGAGCTAGAGAATATATTTAAATGCTACAGTGTTGAGTATCAGCAGAGTATATGGTTAAATGCATATCAAATTTAATTTAATTTACATTTTATGAAGAAACAAAAGAGATTTTTTCCAATTTATACTCCATTGTCCCTTCTAATAAATACATCATGTAACATTTAAAGAACATATTTTCAGAAAAGAGATAATTAAAACAATCCCGATAGTTTGTTTTATTTTGATTTTTATAAAAATCTTGAAAACTAAATAAATACTCAACATTTGCTTTCAGAATAATTGACAAAATTCAAAATATTCATTCCGAAGTGAAAATGGTAAGCCATGAAAACATTATTGATTAAGCAACTTACCAGTAGTTGTATCTGTAAGAACATTAAAAGATTACAATTACTCTCTTTACAATAAATTACAGAAAATATCTTTTATGGATTTATTTGTTTCGCATATTCATTGAATAAACTTGGTGTTGCAAATGCATAGACTTGTGTTCCTCTATATTGATTACAAATGACAGTGTTTGTTCTTTATTGTCTATTTGTCCTCTAAAATAGCCTATAGTTCTTGTACATACACTCGAATATATGAATATATACTAGTAAAGATTTAGTTTATTACTGACTCGTTTTAAAGTATTATGAGTTAAGATTTAAACTTACCTTCTTTTGATGTAGATTCTGTTAAAAGGTAGAGGGATGAAAGTAATTTATACTTTATATATGGCTAAAAACAATTATTCATCTAGCACATGTAAAGCACATGTTTAAGACGACATACCCCCAAGGACCTATAATTGAAACCAATATGCAAATTAAAAGATTTTTTTTAAATCTAAATTTATTACAGCTCTTCACAAATTCTAAATCATTATCTCTTGCCAGATGTTTCCTTTCCCTCTGTTTTTCCAATGGTAATACTGAATCTTTTCTATCCAAAACTGCTTTTATATGTATAAAGTAAAGGATGTTTTCCCGAAACTTTTGCATTATACTCTAACACACTTAATTTCAAATAAAAGCTTTAAATTTGTTTAATGATCTGAATTTAATTCTTCTTTAAAATATTGAATCTTGAATCATATCTGGGGATAAAAATAGCAAAAAGTACATAAAATTGGATATATGATTAGGAAATTGACATCTTGACACCATTGAATTATCGACAAAACCATCAATAAAGATGGCGGTTTAATATTCACAATCATTTTTCTTTCAAATATGCTGAATAAATATTGGGGAAAAAACAATATAAGTTTAAATATTCAAAAGATATCCTTTCTCTGACAATATTTTTATCATTCATTCAGGAATAAGCATCCCCTTTCAACGGGTTATACTCGCCGTGATTGAGCTCTTGTCTTAATCGAAGAAATCCGTACTATACAAATAAGTAGGAAAATAAGAGTCTAAAATGTGATTTGTAAACATCACTCAACTTTTGACCAGAAAACAAGTTGTATTACAAGTTGTATTTCGAAAGAAGTTCATTGTAGCGGACAAATAAAATTGCAAAACCGTGTCATTTTGAAGAGCAGTAGATTCATTATTCAACGGTGTAACGTAACATCGTAGACGACACGTCTCAATTAAAAAACAAGATGTGTTTGTGAAACACTGATGGCAGCTTATAGCGAAGGTTAAACTTTCTCAAATGCAAATCAAATACATTGGTACCCAAAGTAAGTTCTTGTCCCGAGAAATATGAAAGCCCTAGCATGAAATATATGGAGATAACGAACAGTATTCAAGTTCAAAAGTCCATTAAACAATGTAAAATAGGAACAGAGCAAACACGGACCTCCAAACATCAGAGGTGGGATCAGGTGCCATGGAGGAGTGAGCATCCCCTGCCGACCGGTCACACCCGCCGTGTGCTCCTTGTCATGATCGGGAAATAACGGAAAAATCCGTCGACAATTCAGTGTGTAAATAATGGCATAACAATTAGTATGAAAAACGTCAGTCAGCATTTGACTCAATGATAAATTGTATTTGCTGACAAGGTCATTGTATCGACCATAGAACTTACGAAATGATGACTTTAAACGAGACAGCTGATAGTATGGAAAAGGTTAAAAAATTTCAAAGGTAAGTCAAACATCAAGGTCAAATGGTCAAAATTAATGGTGCCAAAGGAAAGGTCTTTTCGCAAGAAATACACATGTGAAATCTGAAAGCCCTAGCACCAAATGTTCAAAAGATATGGCCAAGTTTAAAGTTTATCAAAAGGAGGTCAAACTCCAAGGTCAAGGTCAAAAGGTCAAAAGTTGTTGGCATCCAAAGTAAGGTCTTGTCACAAGGATTACAATTTGTGAAGTATGAAAGCCGTAGCACCAACCGTTCAAAAGTTATGGCCAGGGTTAAAGTTTTCCAAAAGTAGGTCAAACTCCAAGGTCAAAAGGTCAAAGTTGTTGGTATCCAAAGTAAGGTCTTGTCACAAGGATTACAAATATAAAGTATGAAAGCCGGAGCACCAACCGTTCAAAAGTTTTAGCCAAGGTTAAAGTTTTTCAAATGTAGGTCAAACTCCTAGGTCAAGGTCAAAGGGTCAATTGAAAGTTGTTGGTATCCAACGGAAGGTCTTGTCATAAGGATTGCACATGTGAAGTATGAAAGCCCTAGCACCAAATGTTCAAAAATTATGGCCAATGTCAAAGTTGGGTAAAATTTTGTAAAACTAGATCAAACTCCAAGGTCAAGGTCGAAAGGTCAAATAAGATAGTACCCAAAGAAAGGTCTTGTCACAAGGAATACACAAATATGAAAGCCATAGCTCCAACCAATCAAAAGTTATGGGCAATGTTATAGTTTTTGCGGACAAACAGACAAACAGATAGACAGACGGACGGACGGACAGGGCAAAAACTATATACCCTCGAATCTTCGATACGGGAGTATAATGATGAGCACACTATGCTGAAATTTAAAGCATACGTATAACAAAATTTATTACTAGCTGGACAGTAAACCGTATACTCACGGGTTTGGGAAAGAGGTGAATTTAATTAGCAAAATGAAATTAGTCAACTAAGTTGAATATTTTAAGAATTTAAAGAAATAAGCTTAAGATAGTTAATTACGTTGGATTTTGTTTTGATTTGATTTTGAAGTTGTATTGTGTACTTAATTCATGCAGTGGTACATCTGAAAAAATATTACAATATAACATGCACGTTTTGCATTCAGTCTCTATTTATTTACAATTAAGATATTTTGAGTTCGAAAAAGCAATAAGCATTAGTAGGGGTTATCAAAAAGTTCGTGAACTATCGCCATAAAATTAAAACAACTTGAGGTACATCAATGAATTTTTACACATTTAGTTAGCATCATCTTTTCTATCTATAGAATAAACTATAAATCATAAGTTTTATTTTTTTAATGAATCGTGAATGCTTTTGTAAGCAATGGTATGACCAGGCCACGCAACCTAAAAATACGTTTTTTTTTTCTACACAAGTCTAACGAAGAAAATTGTTTTGATATGAGCATTTGTTATCCAATAATCACGTTTACTATATAGTCTATAAATAGTCCCTATATAATCTATACAAACGTAAACAATTCATAATACTACATATTCACTGGATTTGAGGCCGCATTCACCGAAGGGTGAGTGCGCGTGGAGCAGCATTGTGACGTCACAATCAATACCTCAAACAACGTTGAAAACAATGGTTGCAACGGCCAAAGCCAGCTGTGTATCTGGGCAGGAAAAATGTTGGGCAAGTCTATTGCAGGATTATTTTCCAAACATTTCGATGACTTACAAACAACAAAAGGAAAACACGGAAGTTTTAATTAAGCTGTAATCTGGACATTTTTTTTTATTTTTCGACGACAGAGGTTCGTTTTTGAAAATGGTATCGTCATGCAGAATTCGATGTCTTATTTATTCAAAGCCCGACTATATAATAAAACAATTATGGATTCTTTCGGTGGTGAATATGGTTTGTTGTTCACCAGAAAAATATCAATATTGACCTCGGCTTCGCCTAGGTCAATACTGATATTTTTCTGGTGAATAACAAACCATATTTACCACCGAAAGAGTCCATAATTGTATATTATTCATTATATGGTATGACACAATCGAAAAAGCTCTTGGACTCAACCTTGGTATTATTTACTCAATTACAGATTTGCATCGTATAGTGAACAAAAGAAATGGAGACACTAATTATTATACAGTAATGAGGATATTTGAATATATCTGTATTTTTTATGATGAAATATAGACAAAAATAAAACAAAATATCATAGTTCAATGTGCATGTGGTATAGTCCTACTTCGCAATCATACCAAAAACCAGGTTATCATCGAGAAAATGTCAGTTCTCTTCCAAAATAGAAGTATTAAATGGATAAAGCTGGGTAAAAAGTTGAAATGGGAAAGTTGTAAACAAAACACATTTTAAATGGCATTTGATGACATAACTGTACATCGGAAAGCAGTTCAGTTTTATGTAGATTTAGAAACTTTTAAGCAGGCTTTCAATGATAACATAAGATAATATATAAACAAATTTCATTAGATCTTTTGTAA